ACTTACCACTATTGTGTTAAAAAGAAGAATTTTTGTATCACAGATGAACGAAGGAAATTAAAGATAGAAAGGACAATAAATACACATGTAAACAATCATCTCAAATTAAAATAGATTAGTACTTACTCGCTGTTGTATTGCAAAGAAGAGTTTGTGTATCACAGATGAACGAAGGAAATTAAAGATAGAAAGGACAATAAATACACATGTAAACAATCATCTCAAATTAAAATAGATTAGTACTTACTTCCTATTGTGTTGCAAAGAAGAGTTTGTGTATCCCAGATGAACGAAGGAAATTAAAGATAGAAAGGACAGTAAATACACATGTAAAAAGCATCTCATATTAAAATAGATTAGTACTTACTTCCTATTATGTTGCATAGAAGAGTTTGTGTTTTTAGTATCATAGATTAATTAATAAAAATGAATAAGTATATATACCAATCATAATATTTTTAGGACTAGATCTATTTACCTTTTCCTGTAAATCAAGAGTAATAGTCCAATCAATAATAATTATTATTATAATAAAATTTTATGTACCATGAATTGAATTATTCCACTTCAGAAAATGACAACTTTTCAGATTACTTCTTGTCATCCATGATCCAATCCACTCCACCCCTTTTCTCTGTTATTGTAAAAGCCCATCAGACACAGGGCAACATTTGCAACTTTGTGGTTACTTTGATCTTTGTTGCCTCAAGTTGATTACTGCTCAACTTTTAAGTGGGCATCCACTATGCAACTTTTTTTATGTGGTTGTCCAACATGTTGCATGAAGTTGCTAGTTGAGACTCTCTCTACTTCATGCAACATGTTGCCCAACCACATCAAAGGTTTAACCACAAGTTGCAAGCAACAATGCTGCATAGTGGATGCCCACCTTTAGATTAGCTTTATATTAACATTCTTCATTCTTTTTCTTCACAATAAATAAGCTTATATATATGTCATACAATTAAACTGGATTGCTGATAAAATCAATCAGAGGCGGGATCTACTAGTTGCTCATAATTAAAATTGGCAAATGACAAAAACTAACAACAACCATGAATGGCATCAACACAAACTAATAAAGAATACATCATTGCAGAGAACTGAATTGTTGCACTCACTTCCCTCTTGTTCTAATAGACACATGTAGAGACATCACAGAACTCATAAATATTCCACACAATCTGAGCTTGTATTGCATACTTGATTATTATTAAAAAACAATCAGTATTTGGGGGTAAAGTCAACTTAAGGCAATATGATCTCTCACAGTGAACCTGCCATACTTACTAGCTACCATGTACTATACACTAAAGACACAACCATACATTAGTACTGATCTACTGTACCTAGATTTGTACTTTGCTTTGCTTGATTAGGCTCAGGTACACCATGATCTCAATGGACATGTACAGACAGGGTTGCTATTTGCTTATCTTTTTGTCTTGTCTATGTGACAACACAAGATGGAAGTTTCATGAGCAGTTTATCGTGTGCTTAGTCTCACATTACCAGATGCAAGTGGAGCCCTCACATACTAGACTAGATCTAGCTGTGCTCTTATGAGAACATTATAATCTACATGAACTGCTATTTTAAATGATGTCTTGTTAATTATGAAAATAATAATAATAATAATAATAATAATATAATAATAATAATAATAATAATAATAATATGCCATTTGAATACATGTATGTACATTTCACCTAATAATAGTAGTTCATTACAGTTCTGTCTTTTCCTTTTCTTTCTCTCTTTCCTTCTTTGCTGCTTCCTCCTCTTCTTCTTTTAACTTTCTTTTACGAATCCCCTACAGTACCTCAATTGGTGGCTCTGAAAATAAAAATAAAATTTATCATATCCACTATTGTGGTTATACCATAGTATATACTAGTATAATGTATTGTCCTAACCTGTGTCACTGTACCATCCTTTATCACCAGCAAAATGAGTTGGATAGACTAGCAATGGATAGGCAGAATAGACACGTAAATCTCTAGTAGTGTTCTCATAATAATGGACCCAATCATTCCTGTAATAACATATTAATATAACTCAATAGTGTCTCATTTGAAGCATTGGAAGTTTTAAAACCATGGGCTGTCCATGCTTTTTCTAAAGTTGCTAATTTTAGCTGATAACTCAAAAAATTTTAGTCAGAATCCGCTCAAACTTTCTACACATCATAGAAACGTCAATATATATCAGAAAATGTAATAAAAATTGAAAGCAATTTTTGAGCCATTTTTTGAAAAAAAAGATGGCTATAGGCCAAAAAGTTCTGCTAACTTTAAAAAAAACACCGTAACTTGAAAAGTTTTAGTCAGAATTAGCTCAAACTTTTTACCTAGTATAAGAACATCAATGTGTATCAGAAAATATAATAAAAGTGGGGGTAATTTTGGAGCTATTTTTTCAAAAAAAAAGCCATAAGCTATAGTTCATACTTTTTCCAAAAATTTTTATAACTTTAAAAATGGTTGTAACTCAATTAAATTTAGCCTGAATTAGCCCAATCTTTCTACATAATTGCATCAATATGTATCTGGAAAAAGGGAGTAATTTTGGAGCTAATATTTGAATAAAACCATTGCTAAGGAAAACTTGAAGAAGACAACATAATCAAGCTTTGCTACTATTAAAAATAGACTATACTTACTCAGGATGGTCATTATACATTATTGGTATGTACTCATCAACTGGTAGTATATTATCAAAAGGTCTCCCGGCTATCAGTTTCTCAGCTCCCCTATTTGATATAATATAACCTAACGTCCAATATGAGTACCGAGGTATTACAAGGTTCTTTGTTCCTGGAATAATACTCTCAACATTTGGACTGAGCTCTTTACGACCAACATAACTAAAAAGTGACAAATAAACTATTGATTTAAACTGTTACTAACACAAGGTCCCAGTCAGGATCATGACTGTTCACTTCTTGTAATGTTCTTTTAAGATTTGATTTAAAGTTAGGTTGGAAATCAATGTCATCCTCAAGTATTAGTACAGTCCTCATATCTTCAGTAATAATAATTCAGTAATAATTCCTGATAGAGATATGAGAAATAATAATAAATAACATGATATACATG